GATATATACCATAAACTACGATATGGTAAGCGTACTCGTAAGCTTAAAATTATAAAGGGAGCTAAAAATTTAATAAAATTTAATAATTTAATGCAGCGTTTTTAATAAAACAATTATTCCACTCGCACTTGTTGGATATGAGATGATTATAGCCAACTCGGCGCTACGCGCCTCGTTGGCTATCTTAAACATCTCATATCCAACGCACGCTCGTGGAATAATTGTTAAATGTTTAACTTCGAAAGAGCCACATTTTCAATTGCTTGCTTTCTTCGCACCTCTTCGAATGAATCTCTTTCTGTCGGTAAATCGTTCTCTTTGCCTGTTGAGAAAAGTTCCTTTATTGACTTAGATTTTCCTGGTGATAGTACTCTGCGTGTCTTGCGATTAATTGCAGGACTTGATCTCGATGGTATCACTCCATTGTCCCCTTTTCTCTTCGCCTTGTATAACTCAGCACACGACGACTCGTTTCGACTTTAAGACTGTTGAACACTGGTAAATGATTCATGAAGACCTAGAAATTTTCTTCCGCCAGTCCCACAATACTTGTCCCACAGTTTTCTTCGTTTTCGACAATAATTCCAATGCTTTTGAGAGATTCTGACAGCGGTTCTTGGACAGATCGTTCGGTGCTCTAAAAATATTACTGTAGGATGTATGGGTTACACGATCAACATACAAAATTCGAAGGCTCTTTTTACAAAGTCTACAAAATTCGTTTGATCGGTTTGAAGACGGTTTTTTACCTTTCTTTGCTCTAGTAAAAGAACTCTCTGTGTCCGCCATGAGAGGTGCGAGTTTGTTTTGACAGGAAACTGATAGTGAACGCGAGAACTGCTTCTGGCGCCTTCTGATTGGTTGATATTCGGCGAGTATGATTGGTTAAAAATTTTGGGCGGTAAACGCGAAAACAATAGGGCCAGTGCAGGCTCTCCCCTCTTTCCCCTTCCCCCCATCCCTCCCCCCCCCAAAAGAGCCTGGCTACGCAGGCTGATTTTTGCAATAGGCCACTGAAATTGTTGATTGATTAGGACTGTTGACAATCATTTATGATCTCATTTCATATAATAACTCGCATGACAGATTAGAGAACCATAAAGCTGTTTGAACTCCTGTTTCACTGAGCCTGTTTCTGGAAGAATATTTTTTTATGTACCAGTACCACCTAAAATACTAGAAAATTGCATCCCACAGGTTTTGAGAAGACCACAATTAAAAAATAATACAATAAATTTTCCAATACTGCAATACAGTAAACCTCAATGTCCCCCTCCAAGTAGTTACAGTCTCTTGAATGTATTGTAATGACATAGCAAATATAAATTATTGCTGATGGTGAAATGAGATTGCATAGTATAGATACCCAACTAATTCAGCGTTGGCCTTTTAAACTGGGGGAGGGAAGGAAAGGCAGTACCTGTTTGGGGAAAGAAGAGAGCTTGTTTCAAACTTTGTGGGCCACTTATTTGAAAGGGCTGCTCATTTAAGAGGCACTATTTTTACAATGAATATTCCTTTGGGTTCATTCTACCTTGGATGCAGACACCTCATCATCATTTCCACCAGTATTAGTATCTCCTAAAAATGTTTGACCAACATCCTCCTTGCTTTTCAGTACTACAGGCTCATTCTCAACATCATTTTCAGTCACTAATATTCTACTTGTTTTTGCCTTCTTTCTTGCTGTGGATTTAACATCTTCCTCATTATCTTCAGTGTTTATAGATGATCTTTTCTTTGCAAATTTACACTTTGCTCTCCCCCTATCATGCTCATCATCATCCCTGACAATAAAATCCTCACTGGTGCTTGAAACCTTCTGGTCCTCCTCAACTGATGATTTTCCTCTCTGTGTGGTTTTGTTTCTTCCTTTGTTATCTTCAAAGTAGGACAATGATAGTTAAAATTTGGGAAATCAAATGATGGCAGTCTGGAAAGAATATCATTAGCTCTCATTTATAAATTTACTGATCCAGTGTACTCAGAGATCACTGGGCATGGCTTTAAATCTCTTATAATATTGTGTTCATTGCACATTTAACGCACATTTTTTGCACATTTTTTTGCACATTTTTTTTTTTGTGCATATGAACTGAACGTGTTGTGAATTTACCTTTTGCAATAATGTCAAGTGCTGGCTTTTTGTAACTACAGTACTGTTATGTTAAATGTACATATACATATTAGGTATCAGTAGTCCCTAGGCATGGGACAAAAGCCTTTTATCAAAGGTCTTCATTTTGTAGTTTGACCTGGCCTTTTCTACAAAACAAAGACCCCATCCCTGCCATGTCTCTTGGCATTTGTAGAAGAGTTTTACTGAGGGTCTTTGTTATGTGGTTCAACTTCACCTTTTCTACAGAATAAAGACGACATTGATTTTGTTTGTTTAAGCTAATTTTAAAGTGGTTTTAAAAGAAGACTCAATGTCTTTTGAATGCAACTCTACCTTTCTTACTTGCAGCCATTTCCTTATCCACATCTTGGTTAGCCAGAGTTCCTCTTCTCTTGTTAACTGAATTCTTAGCTGGAGATTTTATATGAGTTGTTGACTCTATTAACCATGAAGGCAGTTTGCGTGTCTTTTGCAGAAAAGGTGCAGGCTCTATCAATGGTTTGGATGGTGAAATCACATCTGTCTCAGACTACAACAACAATTTATAACAGAGTTAGCCTCTCAGAAAAGTTTTGTTCCTGTTTTCTCTCAACTGCAAATTAAATAACAAACAAAAAGCCTTAACTAGGAAGTTAATGCAGGAAGTTCCTAGAGTACAAAAGAAGTGTAAGGAGGAACACGAGACATTAAATAGTCAAGTGATTCACCCCACAACTTGAGTGCTCTAGCTGCTTCCTAAGTGCTTTGCAATAGAAGGGAGCACAGTCAAGGCTTCTCTATTCATTTTAAAGAATCAGTTAAATTCCCCATGCATTACTCTCAATTTTCAAAAACTTCATTTTCAAAGCAAACAACAGTGTCACCAGCATGCTCTATTAACTCTCATAAAGTGCGCCAGAATACGTTAATAATACTCCTTGATAGAATGGTTCAATTAATCTGATTAGTTGAACAAGACAAAGGCTGTCAAGTGTAACACCAAGGTTCACAATCTGCAATACTGAGTTAACAAACTGAAATAGTTTGGAATTTCAAAATTAACACTTTTCTTGAAGTTTTTAGTCCAAGTTTTTTCACACAGCACTTAGAAAAAAAAATGCTCAAAGCAAGTGTTTTATGAACCAACAACAGCTGAATTCACAAAGATTGCTCGTGATGATGCCATAAAACTCGGCTTCTGTGACTGATGTGACCTTCCACTCAACACATCAGAAAGGATATCAAAGCAAGCTCTTAGTCCAGTCCACTGTGATGAGGGGAGATCACCATGATGAGCTAGCCGGGATGGCCTTCATCATGATTGCAGTCGTTCTGACTTGTATGAACTTTAACAGTTCTGCCAGTTTGATTAAATTTTTAATCATTACTGTTTTGTTCTGTTTTGTATTTGAACACAAAACTACTATATGCTATTGGAATGTTAGCTGTTTGATTTTAATTACTGTACATGTACATAAGCTCTACAATCAATCACATCTTATATCCGATCTTTACTCTAAAATTAGATAACAAGACTTTCAAATTCTTTGAAATAAATTATTTGAAACAAAGGAAATTTTTATACCACACAAGATAAACTCATGTAAGGTACCAAAGGGCTGATTATTTTAGATCCACCAATCAATTTAAACTAATGACAATCTAATTATAACTACCACAGAAAGAGAAGAACTAGCTGTAGCCATGTCTTGAGTGGACGGTTTACTGTCAGTAAAGTTCCCATCTGCATGTCGAATAACTGCATCTGCAGAACATGTTCTTGAGGAAGGCCCATTATTCGTAAATTCATCTAGCAACATATCTGCAAAGAATATTGGAAAAATCCATTGAAATACCTCAGTCTTAAAAGCTACAGTTATAAATGTTTATACCCCCAAGATTACTATGAGAAGATAATATGTTCTAATAAAGTAAATTTACACTTAATATAAATTATAGTTTATTTAATTTAAGAGAAGTTTGAAACCAGATCCTTACAAGAGGGTCTCTAATAGGCTTCTTCAATCCTGCAATCGCAACTAAAATTCTCCTTAAATCCCCTAATCCCGATGGTTTAGACCAGCCAATCCTGATCACATCATAAAATAATTCATTTCCTCAACTTAAAAGGTCCCTTTTGGTAGGTGATAATTTTCTCAACTAACATTGATTTGTTGAAGTCTTTGCACATTGTAAGGTGTATAAGTTTATCTCTTTTCACCAAAAGGATAATATTATTCACTTAGAAGTCTTGAAAGTTTTGGCGCATGTGTACACAAGACTGTCTTAAAAAAACTTTTTTGCAGTTTTTTAATTTCCTCTTAGGCAGGCATCCATAGGTGTTTGCATCTAACTTTTACAGTTGGAGGGAGAAGTGAAAATCAATGCCCTCAAACAGCTGCATGAGAGGCTATGCTATTTTTCTTCACTTTCAGATTATATCATTTCTTTATAAATTCTTGTCAACGGACATCCCAGTTCTTGAATGAAGGCTGATAGTTTCGAAAGAAACTGTTTGGGGCTGCATCAGTGGGAGTAACGAAATAACTTGGATATATTAACAAAGTTGAAGTGGTAAATTGGCCACTGTAACGATTACAAAAGATAATGTTTCGAGAGTTCGCCCTTTGTCGGAGCGAATAGAGGAATTGTGGATTGTGTGTGCTTTTAAAGGCAGAGAATGGAGCTACGTTATTGGTGGGAACATGGCAACGAGAAAAACAAGAATAAATTAGTGGAATGAAAAGCTTTTGTAATCGTTACGGTGGCCAATTTACCACTTCAACTTTGTTGATATATCCAAGTTATTCCCAGTTCTTGGTTCATCTTAGTAACTATTTCTCAAACCCCTCAAATTCATAATACTATTCCTGTCCCTTACTCCCTTCTTACCCTAAATTCTTGGGTTCTCAGCCTTCAGACTGTACAATCCAAGATTCCAAAAGAACCTATTGAGGACACTCTTACATCTGTGGTGATATCATTCTTTTGTGGGTCACAAAAGAATATTTTTTCAGGTATGATTAACCCAGAAAAATTGGCCCACCTCATCAGAGTCTCTGTGGCTCAGTGGCAGAGGGTCAGATTACATAATCTGAAGGTCTGTGGTCTAATTCCTCATGAAGACTCAGAGTTTTTTCACTTTTTCACGTATACAAAGGTCAATTATGTTTTGAATTCTTCAAACCACTTTTATGACAGATTATTTCCATATGCCATATATCTGAAATTTTCGTCAACCATGAACTGATCCCTCACCCCTCAACTCCCTTCTAGTTTCTTCAAATACAAAATGGCCCAATTCCTCACAAGCATATAGCACCTGTGGATGTGTTTGATGATTTTGTAGGTTTTCCTTCATCATGAACATTGTTTGACTCAGAGAATCTCAATTGTCCTTCAGTTACACCAGTCTTGCATGAATCTCCATGACAAACCACCATAAAGCACAAGCTGTCTGGAAGCAATGCAATAACATCACCATTGATCAGGACTCTGATTTCGTCTTTCTTCAAACTTATGAACTTCTGGCTATCAGAAGCTTTCAAGAAGGTTGGATTGGTGTGAAGCTGTAAGGTAAGTAATAACTTCAATTATTAAAAACTGGATCATTGGATAATGCAATTCAAGAGCCAATATACCATAATCTAATTTCTGTACATTGTTAAATCCGGTTTCTTCTCACAAAATAAAGTTGAGAAGATTTGTCTAATATCTTGGGGGTGTTTTTTTTAATAAAACAATTATTCCACTCGCGCTTGTTGGATATGAGATGATTATAGTGAATTTGGCGCTATGCGCCTCATTGGCTATCTATCATCTCATATCCAACGCGCGGTCATGGAATAATTGTTAATTATAATCTGGGCTCCTGCTTCGACTCGCACATGGACATGGCAACGCATAGAACAAAGACCTCTGGTAGTGCAATTTTTTATCTGTGTATAATATCCCAACCATGCAGAATTACCTTACTAGTGAATGTACTGAGAAACTGATTCATGCATTTATAACCAGTAGGTTAAACTATTGCAACAGTCTCCTCCATGGACTTCCCGACGTTCACACACAAAAACTCCATGTCATGATCAAATGATCACAAATGATCTTCTGCACACCTAAACACTGTCATATTCTGCCACTCCTTCAACAACTTCACTGGTTGCCCATCCTCCTAGGTATCAAGTTTAAAATCCTTTTGATCACCTTTAAAGTACTCTAGAGCTCAGCTCCTAAATATCTCAGTGATTTAATTTCTGTTTTACAGCCATCCCATTGTGATCCACGGCAAAATAACAAGGGAATTCTTCTGAGAACCCCTTATTCTTATTCTTATTTTGTATTTATTGTAATATAATGCACATTTGATTATTTTATAGAAAATGTGTCATATAAATATCAAACATTACATTACATTATGAAATTAAATATTAAATTAAATTAATTAATCATCACTAACTAAGAACCAGTCAAGCATTACAACTGCCATCTACACTGTGCCTGGTGATGGTCCAGTAAGATTTCTGAATACTCTTTACTTAGTATGACATTAATTGGCAGCAAAAACTAAAATAACCATTCATCAATGCCCAGTGACAGAGGTACCAAACTATGGGAATCTAAAATCCGGAGCTGCTTGGTGTAGGACCACGTCTTCCCCACAGCCTGTGAATCTTCATTTTTCCCAGTCTCTTCCCATGAACTGAAGTGACTCTCATACAGACCTCACAAATAACCCTCCCTAGTCAAAGATTGGTAAAAAAAAATCCCAATACAACCATCCTTAACCAGAAACCCAAATATTTTTTGCATACGACCGGACAAAATCGATCCAAAATCATTACTTTTATGGAAAAACATATATCCAGGATATTTACACTGTGTTACAGTATGTACGACAATCCAGAGAAAATTAATGGTGAATTATGCAACAACATAGAAATTCAGAGCTCAATTTTTTGACACGGAGTGACACCTGCTTCAATCGTATCCCCTATCATTAGTGAAAAAAAATAAGTACTTAGAAATCCTTGCTGCATGTGAGAGAGGAACTAAGATGGCTAACAGGCGAAGGGCGAAGTAATGTGGGTAGAGGTGGGGATGGTATAAAATCGGCGGAATTTACATTGTCTTGTCATAACTTTGTCACTTACGGGCAAAATAGAAAGATTTTCATTTGTCACCTCCAGTACCGCATGCAATCTCGACACTCGCTTATCTGTAACCTGTTCAAAGAAAATTAATAGATATGGTATATATATTACAGGTTAAAACAAATAGAAGGTGAATTTCCAAAGAAATTTAACGCGTCTAAATGTTGTTATACTTCTGCAAATCTTACCCCAAGGAAAGGACCTCTTCCGATCGTTGTTTTGCCAAAGGGAACCGCAATGTCTTTTTCGTCATCAAGCGGCCTTAAGTTGAAGGAAGGCATTTCGATTACAATCTCATAGTACTATCTCAACAAAAAGGTTGAGATAGAGTGCAATTTTTGTGTGGCTTACACAACGTGTGTAGCCACATTATGGCACGATTATAGAAAGCCATACTGGACAAAACTGGTCGAGAATAATTTTGTTGGCCGAGAAATAATTTTGTCTTTCGACAGATATTTTCGATGGTCCAGAAATATTTGTGACGATCGAGAAAACTTCTCCCTTGGTCGAGAAATAATTCTCTCTGGCGAGAAATATTGTGGAAGTCCAGAAAAAATTTAAAGGATCGAGAAAACTTTTTCATCGGTCAAACAATTTTTTTCATTGGTTGAGAATTTTTTGGTAGATTGAGAATTAATTTTGTCGATCGAGAATTTTTTTGTCGATCGAGAATTTTATTGTCGATCGAGAATTTTTTTTGATGATCGAGAAATTTTTTGTCGATCCAGAATTTTTTTTGTCGATCGAGAAATTTCCTGTCGATCGAGAAATTTCCTGTCGACCAAGAATGTTTTTTGTCGATCGAGAATTTTTCCTTCATATTGAGAAAAATTGGAAAGCGTATTCCGATGTGGCATAGGGTAAGATATGGACTGGACTGGACTATTTTTTGGACCATTGTTTGGACCAATTTTTGGACCATTTTTGGGACCCTTTTTTGGACCCTTTTTTTGGACCATTCTATGAGGAGGGAAAGCACACCATTAGTACCCAGGGAGGGGTGGGTGCAGTCTATGGAATACGAGTGTTTTGATTTCCTGCCATTCGGTCTTGATGTTCAGGTTTAGATCTCCTCCAATTATTGCTTTGCCTCGATAGAATACAAGCAGGGGAAGCCTTTCAACATATTTACCGCTTTTTCTCAAGGCAGTGATTGATATCGCCGAGGGACTTGAATTTTTGCATTCAAGGAATGTGCACGTCGTAAACCGCGACTTGAAACCAGGGAATGTCAATTTCGGTAGCTATATATATTCCATATTCCATGGGCCAGGGCCCCAAAAATGGCCTTTCATTACCACTCGGGGAGACAAATGCTATCATACATTTTTGAAAACTACAGTTACTCTAGTTTAATATTATGTATGATAGCAGTGCTCAATGAGTAGCTGAACAGGTGTTATCATGTGATCAAGTGACGTCACTCCTTCGGCAGAATTGTCAGGAAACAAACGATAACTGCCAAACACTATTCTTTGCAAGCGTGTTAACCGTTCTTTAAGGGTATTTTATGTACGAAAATGATAGAGGTTTCTCTCAGATGAGTTTTAAAACTTCTGAGTTCAAAATTATTTGAGTTTCATCGATTTTTTTCCATGACAGCGTTAAAATGTACTGAGGTATAAGCGTAAAGTTCTGAACTTTTTTTGTTTAATGTCTAATCTCACAAAATTTTCGCCAAACGAAAGAAAAAAATAACAAGTGACTCATAGCCAATAGTTAAAGTTGGATGCCGTCGCTTCAAAGACAACATATCTTCAGTAACATCCGTACGCCATCTTGGATCTGCCATCTTGGATACGCCATCTTGGATATTAACATACAATTCTTCTAACATATAATAACGCGAAATTGAGTGAAAATTGAAAGCATTGCCCCTTTAAGTCAAACGAACTCATAATTTAATCTTCAAAAGCCCTCTTGAGGTTAAGGAGGGCGCGAACCAAAACGAAATGTCTGAAAATCGCAGTAATTAAAGTTAAAAAATTTGCCAGAAAACCCAATTTCATAGAAGAAAGATAATTTTATGATTGTCTCAATAAAAACTTTTAAACCTAACGGATGTTTTATTTATGGAGTTTTAATCTTCAGCTTCATCCACATCGTCCTCAGAGAAATCGTCATCATACACCTCCTCCTCCTCTGCACGATTGTTGCAGTTCGAGGCCGACACATGTCGGTGCATTTGAGACCATTCGCGAGGCACGTACAGGTGGGAAAATTGCATGATCTTGCACAGGAACAGGATAGAAACTCAAGATGAACTGCAGGTGCTGGTAATATGGTACTGACAAGAACTTCGTTTAAAATCAAGAGTTCTTTAATTCTTTATTCTCGCGACTTTAATCTAGCCAGCGGCTTTTTGCATGGAGTCGCATCAAGATCCAAAGCAAATTCTTCTTTTTTGCCTCCGCCAAGATTTCTTCATCAGTTACCTCGACGATCACTCCTGCGCGAGGACCGCAACGATCACCAGCATTGTACGGAGGGACAACCGAGCTTACTGATGGATTAATACTTCTTTTACTCGTCCAAGCTTGAGTGATTCTACGTGGTGGAGGTACGGTTTGGACCAAAATGCCTGGCTTGAACAGCAATCCCATCTACTCTATGTGAGGTTTCAGCACCAAAAAGAGTTTTCTCCAGTCTATCTATGCGGTCCCACGCGAGTGTTGTGTTGATATATGGCTGGATAGTTTCAGGCAAAGGAACGTCATTAACAGGCGTCAAGGCCAGTTTTTAAGGGCAAAGTGCTGTGTTCATCTCCTCAATTTGTGAATACGCAATTTGTGAATACACATCGGTTTAACATCTGGATAAATTGAACATTGTTCGTCAAAGATTTCACGGCATACGGTAACAGTATTTGCTTGGATGATTTCTGTTGTCCTCCAGTAACTCCGTATATGATGTCCTGCCCAAAAGTGTTAACCAGGCGCCGGATGCGATCAGGATATTCCGCTGGAATTTCTGTGTTGCCAGTAAACAGAGTGTATAGAAATGCATATAGTTCTTCTGGAAGTTTTACTGCACTCTCACGTAGCTCACCAGGTTTCGGATGTCATGACATCTCAGTGATATCTGACAGAACTACATTACGAACTACATTACGAACGAACGAAATTATTTGAAAGACAGATTTCAATACACTGTGGTAAATGACCACCCTTCTAACTTGAATGAAGTGAAATATGGTGTTCCCCAAGGATCCCTCCTG